TTGGTTTACCAATTCTCTCCAATATTTGAGCATCTCACTTTCTTGCTTAATTGCAAGTTTTTAGTTATTCAAGTCTTTTGGTTTTCAAGCAATCATAACACCCCCCGTTTTTAGTTTAATTGTAGTTAGTTAGTTAATTTTCACTAGTTCTATTGGATTGCATTGGTGATTGAATACAACCATTTCCCCGAGGTTCGATACCCCTTTTTACCATTATATTACGTTTTATTTGCAAACAAATGGTGTAATTTGCTTGGTGGACTTGACATCCCACCACATATCAAGCATAGTATTCCCTACACATACGCCATTAGAAATACATTTTTTTAACAAAAAAACCCCAAAACCTAAAACCGAAAACCAATCCTGTAGAACCAAACAAAAAAAAGAAGAAGAAGAAGAAGAAAAACTAACTACGACGACTTTTTCCTTAGAGACCATTTTTCCCGGGTTAGTACCGATTTTTAGTTAAAAAACAAATTGAAAATTGGAATGTGAAACATAAAGTAGACAGAGTAGTATACGAATTACATGTGGTTCCCTACAAAAAGTGTCTACAATGTTTTAAGAGTCTGACAAATGTTTGTTTAAACATGATAATAACCATTAATATGTTGCTTTTCCATGATAATTGGCATAACTACACCTTAGAATGGCATGTTTTCATTTTCTTGGTAACCAATCAGCTGGCTTTTGGCAGACTAATCTTAGTTCCCAATTCCTTTATTCTCCATGGTACAAACGATGTTAAAAGACCACTACTTGTTAAAAAGCGGTCCATACAACATGGAATGAAAATAATACAACATCATCATGGGTTGCAACTGACATACATCAAAATGTTCAAAACAAGTGAACCATGAAAAGGAAGATATAAATGATCATTGTGCAGCTTGAAGCAAAGTCTGAATGGCAACTAACAACCAAACACTACATGCGTTTTCCACTTGTATCACTATAAGCAGATCTCTTGTAATGCAACCAAGAGTCAGGCCACAAGCCTGGTTTGTTAGCTGCACTATGTTTCAACTCACTAACAAAAAATGCATATTCTTCCATTGTCTTTTCTTCTGAGGACACCCATTTCATTTCGTCAAAATTTAGTTTGTGAACCTCGAGCTCACCAAATTAAGGAAAAGCATTCCATAGCATAAAGGTTTTCACCCATGCATACAAACTCCAAAAATACTAAGTCCGACTTGAGAATATTCTTGGTTTGAGTAATGTCAGTTTGGGCTCTTGATCAAGTCCCGGTTCATATAAGCAAGTACCAGTGTCTATATATGGAAAATATGGTCCCCTTGAAATCATGTAAATCAATGATGGGACAATTAGAGGGGATATAATTCCATGCTCCTTTACCCTCTATTCAAAACCATATTTTGCCGGTGTATCTACATAACACCACAAGCACCAACGCAGATATTGAAGGTGAAAAGACTAGAATAGCCCTGACTCCTTCTCGATCAGGTTCAACATCACTTGGAATTTTGGGAAAACGAAGTCCATGCCTTGTGATAGGATTCATAAGCCCGAACAAGATCAAATAACCACAAGTTAATCCAACACAGATCTTGCCACCAGATTTGCTGGGAATGCACATCTTGAACTCTCTTCCATCAAAGTCATGTACCGGAGTACACTTTCTTATTAGCCTGCTCATTGATCCATATTCCAATCGGTGGTCTGGATGACATAAACTGTTTTTGTTACAGAGTGCAAGTGATCTCCATGACTTGCAAACTCCACTAAATTAATGCAACAAAATCAATGACTTCTAGTTTCATCATATCTAAAAACAGTACATCATGTTTAAGATCTGACCAAGGTGGAGTACAACAACACCTTTTTCTAAAGTCACGAACCTCAACCTGCTACATCCATCACCACGATTCTGTCTTTTGGACATACTCCTTGTCTTTGCCATTCCTGCACTTGAAGATAGAAACAAATAATCAAGATTTTGGTAAATGAAAATTCAACATAAGATACACTATTTATAAACAGTGAACAAGGATAATGAACAAGATTTTGAAGTGAATAAAAGAAAATGTTGCATGTAATCAAACCTGAAATTAAACCAAAATACCAAATTCAGTCAAACCCTAGTTAATCAAACAATCCAAAATCACTTAATTTGGACATTCTAATGAAGATAATCAATTTGATACCATCAAATGAATTATGACTTATGATCCAATTGCCTAAATAAGAATAATAATAATAAAATTTATCAAGCAGAAAATCAGGGAAAAAACACATCTGAACAACTATTTTATGTAATCCTATATGGATTTTAAATCAGCACATGCTTAATCTAAACTATGAACATACAGTGATTGAAAATACAAATTTTCAAGACCAACATTCAGCATCTTAGTAAATGCACATTCAACATATACATTCGTTATAAACATGGGACAACCATAGTCTTTATGACTATTAAAACTGAAGAACATGAAAGTAATTTACTAAATTTGAATTCATTTGTCCTTTATGTAGTGCAGCAAAAAGTTAGTGCTAGTATTGATGGGACCACCGGACATTTGTTGATAAACATCCAAATCCATTAGGCCTTCACGGATAACCAGGCCAGGTTACACGCGATCTGGGCTCTGGGCCTGGCCTGAGCTCGATAACAAAGGTGGGCTATAGAGGTGATCCTCACCCAACAACTTTTTATCATATATATAATAATTTATACTTTACAGAGTTGTACAATATACAAATTATGAAATTCTCTAATACATATAATATTATGAATGACAAAAAGTTAAATATTTCAAGGTATCATATCCAAAATGGATGGATTGGATTATCCAAGATGGAATATCCAAAAAGACCGATTGCGTTTGTGCACCTCTAATCTTACGCTCTGAACAATTGTACATCTTAAATTTTAACACAAATCAAAGCAAATAGATTCTAAAGGTGTCAAAAATAATGTCGTAGAATGGAAACCTTGTCTTTTTTATTTATTAAAGTAACATCAATTTAAATTGACTCTGCATAGAATGTCAATTCACATAAATCATAAATGTCGCATGTTACTTTGAATAACAACAGGTGTTGAAGCTAAAGGTATATATCTTTCCCTTTAAAGCATGTAAATCGAGATTAAAATTTTACCATAATTTGCGTACGCAAAATGCTTTATGCTTGTAGATGAGAAATACACCAAGACTAGTTGATGTAATTTTAAACTTTGAGATTGTCAAAAAAAAGTATTGTATTAATTACATCCGGCTGACCACACAAATCAACATAATATCAAGAAAGTGATAGAAGCAAAGTTGTCTATCAATGTAAAAGAAAATAAATTACACTAGACCTACAACCAGCCTTATCACTTCATACGAAAAGAGACCATCATATGGTCCTTTATAACAGCATGTGCCAATGTGCTACACATAATGGAGTAGACACATATTTGAAAGAAAAGGACACAAAATCATATAAAAGGATATTTAATTGGTAGTTGTATTATTAAAGCAAAGGTTGAGTGAACCAAAATCCCTGAACAATAAATTTAAAATCCAAATCCATTTAACGGTGCTTCTCAACAACTTGAAAATGTTAAACATATGCAAAGATAAAAACCAAGACAAGAGTGCATCCAAGTCATCATTCATCCAAGTGATTAACATTCAAGCAATCATTGGGGAAGTACCACAACTGAGAAGAAAAGAACCAGCCTTTTCGACTTTTATCAATGGTGGCATGCAAGTAAGCATATCTTATGTATTGCGACTGATGATCAACCCACAACTCTGGTTTAATAGCAGCAGAATACTTCAAGTGTTAATAAAGAATGCACATTCTCCTAATGTTTTTTCCGACAACACCCACTTCATTTCCTCACAATCTAGTTCATAAACCTTGTAAGAATCTCTTAACTCGCGATTCATCAAATAAAGGTTTTCACCCAAACTTATAAGCTCCGGACATAACATGACTACCTTTGGAAAGTCCAAAATCTTGGTTTGGAGTAACGTCAATTTGGGCTCTGGATTGAGTCTCATTTCACATAAACGACAACCCATGTTTAAGGTATATATCTTCCCCTTGAAAGCAATTAAAGCAAAGAAGGGGAAAGTGGATGAGACATGATTCCATGTTCGAGTACCCGCTACAGAAAACCAAACCTGATAGGTGAATCTATGTAACATCACAAAGGCCCACCTAGATACTAAAGGTGAAAAGACAAGGATACCTCTAACATCTTTTAGATTAGTACTTGCATTATAGGGGAAACAAGGGAAATGAAGTTCGTGCCTTGTGATAGGATTCACAAGCCTGAAGTCTTTGGTTTTCCACCCAAACAAGATCAGGTAACCACAAGTTATTCCAACACAGATCCTGTCAGCAGAACGGGGAAGGATGGTTTTGAACTTTCTACCTTCAAAGTCCTGTAGGTAACACTCTTTCTTATAAGAACGATGAGAGATCGATATCAACATAGGTGGTCTGGATGCCATAAAAATCTTCCTGTTATCAAGTGCAAGTGACCTCCATGATTTGCAAACCCCACTAAATGCAACAAAATCAATGACACCCAATTGCATCATAACTAAAAAAAGCAAATGATGGTCCAGATCTGACCAAGGTGCCCCATCACCGTTGTCACAACTTGCGATCCTCTTCCTGCTAGATGATGATGCATCATTATCATGATTCTGGTTTCTGGTCATACTTCGAGTCTTAGCCATTCCTATACTTAGAAAATGGAAAATAAATATTTAAGATCTTTGTAAATGCAAATTCCACATAAGATACAAGAGATGTAAGCATACACATATATACAGACGTTATCAGTCCTGAATAACTGAATTTTCACAAAATGTTGCAAGAAAAAGAGAAAAATGACATTACAGAATATTACAGTCATAGATACATTTAGATTTCAGAAGCCTAATAAGTGGACTAGTAAAACTCACCGAGATCCCAATGAAAAGAAAACATATGCAAACTAGTTGAAGTTGTTTTGCAGTACCATAACAAATGCATAATACACTAAAAAAGGATAAGAACATGTACTCATCATCTCATTGCCAAATAGGTATCTCACCAACTTCTTTCCCCAAATCATAAAGCTTTTGTTCCGAAATATACATCTGGTTGATGTCATCGATGAGTATATTGTTGGGCAGTTGAAGGAATGTGAAGGAAAGAAACTTGTTTCAGCCACTAAAGAAGGGTTAAAGCTTGAAGTGACAAAAAAGAACATCCGAAACAGGAGTCTCTTAAGAAGAAGTTTGAGGGATTTTTTGTATCTATTCTCAGGCCACTGATGTTATCAGTTACTTTTGGTTTGCCTTTCATTTTTGCCACTACACTTGAACAGGAATACAAGAGTGACATTTTTTTTTCTTCACCTTGAGGACAAGGTGAAAGTTTGGGCTGCTGATATTGATAAGCCCCAAACCTATTGGGTCAGGAAGTCCAAGACTTGAGTATTTCTGGGTTCTGCAGGCCCAATTCTTGGTGGGCTATTTTGGAACCGAAGAAAGTATATTTATTCCCAAAACTCTATTGTAAATTAGGAATTGATAGTGAACTAGTTTGAAAAATAGTCTAAACTAATAAACCATTAGAAGTTTCCTAAATCCATGTATGTTTCTTCCCTGTAAGGTCTTAAATCATCAGTAAAAGTGTAAAACACAATGTACAAATACAAAATATACAACATTTTCTCCGTCTCTGGCTCTGAAATGATGTTCCCATTATTGCAGTTTTCATCATATCTAGAACACATAAAAGCAACCAGTATCATAGATTTACTTACAGACCCTCTACTGCATTCACAAGAGGATGATGTAAAACTTGAATTAATTTCCAGAACACATAAAAGCAACAAAATTAAATGAATTAGCTTCAACTAGGACTTGATACCTAAAAGGTAAAAACCCAAAAATAAACGCCCTTTTCGAAGGTTGTTAATTAGCGGCAAGTTGGCCTATATAGAAACTCGATTTTCATGTGAAAATCCAAGTATTAGATCAGAAATGTTAAATCATCGTATAGAGATCCAAAAGCTCATTTCGCAAACATTATTGCAGCTTTATTAACTTTAAAGTGAAAACTCCAGTTCTAATTAACCAAATTGAACTGATTAGAACACATTGAATCAATCTAGGCAAACTCAAGTCAGGTGAGATCAGGTCAAAGCCAAATTAAGAAAAAACAATCAGATCAGAAAATGATCGGATTTCTAGACTGAAATCCTTAAGAAATTGTATCAAATATTTTAACAATTAAGTTAGAGAAAAGTCTTTAATTATGAAAACTAGTGTGAAAAGCGCACACAGATGATAACTTGACAAGAGGAAACACTCAAATATAGAAGCGAAGGAGAATAATATACCTGCAATGGTAAAGACACGGCATTGAAGGTCGAGTTCTAGGGATTGTACTTGAGACAATTGTGATGCCAGTCGACAGCATAAATACTAGAGATGAGATGGGAATTGAGGGCTAACATTAGGGTCCGATTTCGAGGAGAAATTACAATCATACCCCTTAACAAGGTGTGGTGAATGCACGTGACTTCACATGTGATCATCGTGCTTCCACCGGTGAATCAAAGCTGTATCCGAGCATATAATTCCTGGTATGCATTTTTATAATAAGAAACTTCATATATAGTATAGATGATTTACTCTATATGTCTAGATTAACCATATATTCAACTCACGAGAATAATGGCAAAATGATTATGGAACTCAAGTATATGATTTGCAAGAAATTGTAAGACCTCCATATGAAATATATCCATGCCATGATTGCAACTGGAAAATCAGGATTGAAATAATCAGTCAGCTACACATGATTACACGATAAAGAACGAACCTGTTAAATAATGGGATTCACTGCAGGAAACAAATAACTTAAGCTCTGCTTGTAGTAAACAGATCATAGAATGCTCACCTCCTACAAGTAAACCAAAGGAAATGTTCATAACAAGATACCTAAACACACACACACAATCAATCACAAAAAGACCAGACAAATCAGAAATGGCAAAAATGGAACACATAAATTTTTAGGGGAGGCAAACTAAAAAGAGCACCCCCAGACTTGGAAATTATGTTAACTTTAGAAATAGAAAGTACAATAAAATCCCAATCTTAATAATATAAGTAACAGCAAAATCAAAGGAATCATGGAGATCTAATATGTAGCTTAACTTTTGATGATGGTTCACCAGGGTGATGAGTCAACTGGTGGCTTGATTTGGGTAGGTTTGTGTTTTCCCGAAAGATTGCCAGGTCAAACCATCTAACAAAGATCAAACTAATGACAGTAAAAACAAATACCTAGTAATAGGCTAAAATGTGCAAAAAAAAAAAAACACTTGGGCCCACACAGCCGGAGGACACTTGAGAGTCAGGATGTTCATGCAAAACATATATAAGACTGATTAACAAGAGAATTTTGCCCTAGTAATTAACAAATATAGACTCCAAAGTCTTAATTACTAATTATATATGTATTATAATTGGAGATATATTGAAAGTCTTGTTTATACGGAAATTTGAAGAAAGAGGTATTTATATCCATCACATAATATAACAATGTACAAACCAAGAAAATAATTGTAAGGCTGAAACCTCCAAGAACTATGTTTGAATTCGTCCAGAAGATGGTCAAACTTATCAGCTATAATCTAAGTCAAACAAATCCCACCATGTTTTACAAAATTCCAGTAATTGAATAAAAAAATCCATTTTTCTTGTTTATCTTTAATTACGATATTATTCTAACATATAACGATTAGATTAAATGTTTGAGATAGTTTGTAGATGCAAAAGGCAAGGGTGGGAAAACAAAACGTAATTTAAACTTTTAAGATTATTAAATGACTAATGTATTAATTAGATCTGAGTAACCACACAAAACAAGTTGATCCTTCTTGATCAACTTAATTTAAATAAAAGGGTAGAAGCAGAGGTGTTTATCAGTATAAACAAAAGTAAATTACAATACACAATGTACTTCTAACCATGTAGATGCAATCCTCAAGATGGAAAAACCATACCAACAGCAATGGTAGAAACATAATGCAAAGACTGATGCATAAAAGAGAAGTCAACTCACATCTCCCCACATCATGAAAGTTATCTATCACACCTTTCCCTATGTTGCCATGTGTCAACTCCTCAGTCATGTGTGAAATTAACATTCAAACAACCATTGGGAAAGTACCACATGTTCACAATAAAAAACCTGCCATTCCCAGTATTATGGGTATCAGCACATCTCCTGAAATCAGAGCAAGAATGCATATTCATCTCATGTCCTCTTATGCAACACCCATTTCAATTATTTCATGAACCTTGTAATCTTTTGAAACATTTTGCATCACATAAAGGGTTTTCCCCCACACTTACAAAATCCCAGCATAAGTTCGCCTTGGGATGATTCTTGGTTTCAAGTATCATCAATCACATAAATATATATGTCTCACTTTCCATATAAGAGAACTGGTGTATAGAACCTTCTTCCTTCAAAATTCTCTAGGTAGCAGTAGTCTTTCTCATCAGTATCAGTAGAGAATACAGATGTTGGTTTCTAGTCATACTCCTTGTCTTAGCCATTCCAACACTTCCAAAACAAAAATAAGCATCTGAGACATTGGTAAATTAATTCCACATAAGATATAAGACTTAAGCATACACTGATATGTACATACATATGCTGCCTTTCTCAAATAAATCCAACTTTACAAAATGTTGCAAAAAGAAGAGAAAACAAATGCAAGATTAATAAAATATCTCGAAGTGAAAACAAATACAAAATGTTTAGAGAAAATACAATCTAATTGTGCCTGGTAATATTAAGGAAAACCTAGATGACAGACACTTTTAGGAAAGATGAATGCACTTAACAACAATAAGGATTACACCTTTTCGACAAAGTTACAACAACCACAGTATCTCTCCTTACCCTAATGCCATCCTTCTTGTAATCAAGAACTTGCATGATACCAAAATAACTAATTCATCAAACCCCGATATTCATAATCCAACAAACTAATTTAAATCACTTTATCTACACATTATTATACAGATAATTAGTTTCATATCATCATCATATGAGTTATGAGTTATGACCCGATTGCCCAAATAAAAACAGAACTATAGATGATCGGGGCAAAAAAACTCATCTAATATAACTATTTCGTGATTTGTTAAGTAATTTGTACATTAGCCCATGGCTAATATAACCTATTAAAACCAAAAATGAAAGAAAATAAATCAAAAGAAACTAAGCTAAACTAATGGGAACATAAATCTAAGAAATGAAAATCACATTAAACTGAAATGGATCAGTCCCAAGTTTCTAAGTGAGCCTCACACAACCAAAGTCTTCTTATTGACACGTAAAACAATATGATATGCAACAAAAAGTTAGTGTTTGGTACTAAGTACTAACAAAACTCAAATCATGCAAATAGTAATTCTAGATCTATCGACCACTGTACAGGGGCTAATAAGAGACGACATGGGTATGTGATCACGCATTAACATCCAAATTGATCTCAAATCACTTATAAACAAAGACGCAAAGCTATTGAAAGAGAATTTAACTGATAGAAACCTAGTAGTGAGGAATTTGAGCCATTGAGTGTGGTTTACCTATCCGACAGAAGTTATCTCGCTATTAATATTGGAGGATTTCGTTTCCATGAGTCCACTGACTGATGACGATTTTGTTTCCCTCTTCGGCACTCCTGTATATTGGCGATAATCTAATATCGCCATTGTAATTGCAATGGAAATCCTGAGAAAAGTATTTAAATTTTATCATAAAACTAGGGGTTGCTCCCGTAACCGAAACGAAAATAAACACATTGGTTGAGATTTCTGTCTACCAGTTTATTTTATAGGTTGGGTTATTTATTTGGGAAGTGATTTTGAAAAAATTTATTCATCCACGGAAAATACTACCTATTGACATTTATACCCCTCTATAAAATTAATAAATAATAAAAAGAAGATTACATGTTTCCTTATTATATCCTTAGTTATTCTTCCATTTAAGATTTTCCTCTACAAGTCACAACAAAGAAATAGTCACAACAAACAAACGCTTCAATCCATCCTGCAATTTCAGAGATACATCATACTATAACTATCCATTCAAAGTGTTTCTTTCAAAGGTTCATAACATCAGAAACTTACCACTGCAACATAACTACAAGTCTACAACAAATGCACAACACTGAAAAAGAAAACGATATTTATAAGAACCACTGTAGAGTGATTGAAACATTAAATAAATCAACTAAGAATAACAATTAGATGCTAAAAAAAGACTTTCTAATAATCAAAGAACAACCTATTAAATGACCTTTAGATGAACATGCAAAGATACATAGATATTGGGAGGTAATTGCATATTAACACACACCGACGGGAATTGCAGAGTCATGTCGACGAGTATTCTAGGTCAAGAAGGGGCCTTCGATTAGAGCATACTTACAAGAATTGCAAATGAACACACACATACAACGATTAATTGGAGCATACCAAAGGGAACACACACATACACCGATCAATTTTTGGATGAACGATCCGAGGAGAGCGTCAATTTTTGGAGCATACTGATGGGAATTCTAGGTCAATGAGTAGTGCTGGAGCGAAAGGAACAAACAACAGGAGATGCATTAAGTTCACTTAGCATTTGAGAGTCAAAGGAAAAAGCAGCCGGAGAGTGAAGAGCAGCCGTTTGGAAATTGGCTTTCTCTCTCTATTAATTATTTATTAATATTAATTAAATAAAAGGGTATTAATCTATCTATTAATTATTTATTAATTAAATTAAAGGGTATTTACGTCAATATATAAAATTTTCAATGTCGATATAAAATTAAAGGGTAGTCATGCATGTCGCGTGAACCGACTTAAACTGGTTATATGGTTTGGGATGGGTTGATGTTTTCAACCCGCCAACTCATATATTATATGGATAGAGTTTTGTCAATATATTCTGAACCGCAAACCCGTGATTCATCAACCCGAATCCAGCCTAATTGCCAAGCCTATTAAAAAGACAAAAAAAAAACATAATGAATCTTCTTATATTTGGGATTTTAGCATATAAAAATTCTCGTTTAGTTGTATGGGTTTTCCGAAAACAAAAACCTTAATTACTGTTTTTTCGAAAATAATTAAAATGACTTTGAATGACTATTTAAAAAGAAATGATTTTTTTAGTATTATATATAGCTGAATGTCCATATGCATATACTTTATTCCAAACCTATAATCTTATTTTTTTGTATGTGTTTGTTATTGTTTGACAAAACTACAAAAATGGTCCCTATGATATGTATTTTTCAGGAAAAATGTCCAAACCTTGAAAAAAGTTAGATGGAATGTCATTTCAACAAGTTTGTTTGCGACTTTGGTTCTTATCCAAACTAAAAAGACTATTATACTATTCATCCTTATTTTTAAGGATTTTTTTTAAATATTTAATAAATATTAAANNNNCTCTCTCTCTCTCTCTCTCTCTCTCTCTCTCTCTCTCTCTCTCTCTCTCCATACATACGCAAAACCTGAATAAATAATCATCCTCATTTTATACATCTTGCACCTCCCCACCCCAACCATTTTCTTCAGAAGAAATGATGGGTTTTCTAGGTTACAACAAAAGATTTGCACAACAGATTTTACTCATAAACTCTTATGGGCACATGCAATCTAGAACTCTATGACATTTTCACTTTTATAGCAACATACTTTATGAAAAACATTCTAACTTACTGATAATCGAAATTCGTAAGGTTTAAAACATACATTTTATTACATTCAAATATACTAACTCTTGAATCTTCAAATGTTCCATGAAAAGCAAACATCTAATAGTGTGAATGTCTCTAATGGTTCACACTCAAAACCCTAGAACACTTGAAATCGACTTGGAGATAGGATACAAGATGAAAATCGAATTTCATCTTCCTTGAAGGCATAGGAACGAAAATTGCATGCCAATGGGTCCTATATATTTATAGTTGGTGAATATCTAAGATAAACCTTGATTTGAATAATAAAATAATTAGATTTTATCTTATTCATATCCTTACCATATCAGCAACCAGGAGGCGCTTCTGGAACCCTTCCATAACACTCCAAAATCGTCCATGCATTGGACTATTATAGAATTGTTTCTTTTGTTCAACTATTGAACAACTACAATTCACCAATTGCACCTTTAATTAATTCAAATTAATTTCGAATTAATTTCAGATTAATTTTGATTAAAAATAAATTAATTTCAACTATTTCTAATTAATTTATTAATTACTTAATAAATTAACAAATCATTTTATCTCTCTCTCTTAAAGTCATTTCTAGCTATTTCTAGCTTTTGATGGCAACCCAAAAAGGACTTTAATTTTATTCCATAAAGTTATATCAATTTAGTCATGACCTTAAAAAATTTAGTTATGACCTTGGACACTTATTCCAACAGTCCCTCACTTGGACAAGTCATCAACTACAATTACAAATATAGACTTTGGCCCTGATATAACCAAACGTTGGCCCTTAGATAAGTAATCAGTTATTTTTTTCGTTCTTCAAGATATCGTATGTATATAAGACATTGATACTATTGGATTAGTGTCTAAGCTCGTAACTATATTTGGTAAGTACTTGACCCGGTTGTGCATGGTCCTTTTAGGTTACCTTCACCAGAGCAACTTGACAATGTGATTTATGAAGAGAGAGGTTATTATGGTTTATTAATATATTATATGAATAATATATTAAATGAGAAATC